TATTATAAATTCGAAATTCAGACGCTCATCAAAAATTATTATGGATTTAAGTCAACTTTTTTTTTAATTTCCAATAACAACAACAAATGGGGAACCTTTTATTACAATTAATTGCAAGGTTCTTTGACTCAGCTTAAAATTTTTTATCAACATTTATTTCAAAAAAAGCTAATAATATAGTCGAACATTTCATATGCCTACAAAATAGTTTAACACGAGTCAAAAATATTTTGAAATTGTTTCCATGTATATAAAACGCTAATATAAGCATTTAGACATCCAGTGAAGATTTCATATATTTACGATCATTTGTTTTAGAGTTATCTATTTTGTCGAAAACTAATTTTGAGTAAAAATTATTGTTTTCCCTTAAATTTTTTTTCCCTGAAAAATACTGTGGATTTTAAACTTTGACCTCCCTAATGCACCAACTAGATACACTTTCCCACTGGAAAAGATACTGAAATTGAAAATCGAAGCATTATTTCGACTACTTATCGTGTACACAGACACACACATAAAAAAAAAAAATAATAATAAAGATAACACATTATTGTAAATTCATATAGCCCCGCTCAGAATCTAATATAAAAAAACAAAAATATTACAGATCAGCAGTTTTTGAAATATTCTATTTTGTTTTTGTTGTTGTTATTATTGTTTTTATTCACAACCTGTAGACCGTAGAGACTTTTCTATATTTCCAACACATAAAATATTAAAATATTAAAATATTAAAAATATTATAATTATATTAAATATTAAAATATTAAAATATTTTGTTTCTCTTCGACCTATGTATAAACATAAATACATTTGATATTTTTGAATGTTATTCGAGTTTCTTCGAGGTGTGTTGATGAAATGGTTTTTTCTTTGTTAAAAAGCTTGAAAAAGTAATATTAAGTGCTCAAACCTTATTCTTATAGCAGAAATGATTACATACTCATAAATATTATTATTTGAATGAGCGTTTGAAGAACAAAATTGCAAATAATTTATGGAAGTATAAATTGGATATTAATAAGTAATAGTAATTTAATATGGTACATCATTAGACAATGGACAATAAAATTAAAAATAATGCGTAGGTAGGCACGTACGTAAATAGCTGTTTATTTATACGCTCTATTCATAATTAAAAATATACTTATTAGGACATTATAGGTACTAACCACCTACTTTAGGCATCTTATTGGATATTTTAAACTAAATTGCTCATTCATTAAATACTGTAATACTTACTGTACTTCCTAAGTTTTCGTTTAACATTGTATCACATAATGATGCCAATGTTAATGTTGATTCATTAGATGTTTTAGCATAATGATTGTCGTCTTCGTTATATTGTACAATTAGTCCAATGAATCTAGATAGGTCTCTAAACAATTGTTCTATATTTTTTGTAGAATTAGTTAGATGACGACAGCATGTACTAAAAACATATGATTATAATGTATGTTAATAATTTTACTATGATTGTAATTATTTTAATAATGATTAATAATTGTGAGTATTTAAAAAAATTACTTGAATTTGATTTGGATGGATTTTGCTCCATAGTTGGTTTTTAGTTGATCGCTAATCATATTATTTGCCTGTCTAATACTTGGTTCACATTTTTTATTATAATTTAATAATTTGTCTTGAACAGTCGTAAAATATTCTATGGAAATACGAGATACACAGATAGTTAAACTAATTTTATCGAAAAACCAATTTCATATATTATAATATAACGTAAATAAATAATATTTTACGTAGACACGTAGTGATAAAAGGTTCAAGTTCCTACGAATAATATTTTTACAATAAAATAACATTAATATGATATTTTATTGTAAAAATTGAACTTGATTAGCCAATAGAAAAAAATGTGTGCATTTTATTATTTTATAAGAAAAACAATATGAGAAAAATAGAAACCTTGTATTAAAATTCTAAGCTTTAGCTATAGAAATTTAAATGCGTACTAATTTTTAATAACAAAATTATTTTCGAAAATTCGTGGTTTTGACAAATTTTTCAAATTACTATACGAGCAACTTATATGTGATATTGTATTACATTTAAAAGGTTTTTGGTCTTATGTGTGAATAAATGATAGGCTATGGCAATATTACTGCTAAATCATGGTTTATCGATTATAGTTTAGTCACATAAATTAATTTTTACGAAGAAAACGGAGAATGTTATCGAATTGATGATATATATTTATATATATATTTGTCAATGTTAAATGTGTGTTAAATTTATAGTTAATTTATTTTATTTTATTTATTTATTAATTTATAATTAAAACCGTAAATAAATAACAACACGTTGTAATACATTAAAAAGTATGTATCTTGATCCTTTTAATCACATGTGATAACAATCCTCACGTCATTTGTGACAACAAACCCTAATCTATTATTTGATAACAAATTAACTTTATGAGTTGTATATCACTTTTCAATAAACAGACGAAAATAACACACGGAAATATAGGATAATACAATAAATAGATACCTATTTGTTAAACTAACAAGTATAACATATAGCTATAATGTATAAATATAAATGTATTAAATATAAAGTCAAATATTGAATGTATTTAAAGAAAAAAAATTCTCACAAACTTAAAGTTTACTCTTTTAGTCTTAAGATGGCGAAGGGACATATTTTATCTTTCCAAATTGAGCCTTAAAATGTATGTAAGTATATCTATGCATTGATAAAAACATTTACGAAAATGTTAATTTTTTTCGAATTTAGAAGTTGCCAAGTTGCCTGCGGCCGTGCATTTTAAAAATAGTAGTTATTGCAATTATTTAATTTAATGTCATCATATCATTCAGAGGTTCAAACATACATTCAAAAATAAATGAGACTTTTTAATTAAAGCTATATTTAATTTCAAACTTAATCGTATATAAATGTTGGATATTACAGTATTATCGTACCTTCAAAATTTATTTTCGCCTGTAGAGGACTACTTGATGCAACTGCTGCGTGTAAGAGATGTGGATATTTTACTCTAAACCAGGTAACTAAAGTTCCTGAATACGATGAACCAAATCCTACCCATTTAGCACGATCCAGTAGTATTTTGTTTTCAATCATCATGGTACTTATAAATGTTCCCATATCAGCTAATGCTTGTTCAACGGTCAGATACGATAAATTTGTAGTGTTTAAATTACTAAAACATACGATTATCATCAAAAATAAATTAACATGTTACTACTGATCCGAAAATATCTCAGTGAGTAAATAATTTTATCCTGAAATTATTTTCATGTTTTTTAATAATCTTACAATTATATTGTTTTAACTAAATTATGTACTTATGCCTAATTTATTTCGTAACATAGGTGTTAAAATTTAAAATACTTAAAATTTGGTATAGTTTTTCTACAAATTATAAATACTGATTTTCGTCAGTCAATAGTATAAAAGAGCGACGGAGTGGACGAGTGGATAACGCGTCGGTTGCAACGCGCACAATCGCCGGTTCGAATTCGATCACGGGCGACACTTTTCCCAGTCACGGCGCCTGGAGAGAGTGGCCGCCATTCCTCACTCGGGCATGCCAGAAACCTACGGGTGCCCACTAGAAATTTTCTGCCAAACAAATACACACGTGTTCCATAACCCCCTACAGTCCCAAAACCCTGCAGTACCACAGCTAATGGCCTCAGTTTCCGAAGCATAAACAAAAAATAGTAAAAAATAAAATGTTTTTACTTTTATTTTTTAGTTTTGAATCAACCATAATAATAAATTTCTATAGTAATAAATAAGTATATTATGATTAAATCTTAATTTTACTTAAATATTTATTCTTACCTAACCAAGTGTGACTTAGATCTATCTAGACAGATGACATTTATATTCATTAAAAGTAAAAAATGATAAAAAATTAAATACGTATCATATCATACTCTTAGGGTTGCAAATCGTACTTATGATACTTTATTTGGGTAATTAGTTATATATGTATAAATATACTTACATATGATATGCAAAGTACAATAATGCCGGAAATTATAAATAAAACCTTTGAAACAACGTATTCTAATTATTGTCTTATCTCTCATTATTGCACTCACTCAGTGGGATGGCTCATTCCATAATACCGGTGTTCCAATTGAAAACATGCGGCATTAAAAATTTGAGCGTATTCAATCCATGCTCCGGAAAGCATCCAACTCTCAGAAATTTCTTCTCTTCCTCCTACCAACAAAAATACTGGACCATCCTCCTTATAGTACTTCATATTCACATGATACCTCTAAAAAAATCATATTTTACTGTTAATAGTTGGCCTTAATGAGTAATTTCAACACTTTATTGCTCATTAGTTACTATAGAGTATTTAGGTATAATAAGTAATTAAACAAACTAATGCGTAGCAATACCTGCATCCACGTTCTATTATCAGTATTGTTAAAATGATCCAGATCCTGTACAAACCATCGGGTTTCGACGATGTTCTTGAAATTGGTAGTTGGAAAAAATGATAATGATGATGATAAATTGTTGTTGAAATCAATATTTTGAGCTGATGAACTCAAAAAGAGGCAACACCAAAATACGCAAAATATTAAGTTCATTTTTCAAATTAAATTTGCTAATCTGAAAAAAGTTCAGCCCTTAAGTCAAAGTTATATTTGATCAGTGGTAGACACTAAGTTTCTTAAACAATAGTAAGACAGTTTGTATTTTAATCTGGAAACAGCATAGTTGGCTAACAGAAATTACTATCGTTAAAATGTTTTGATAAATTATATTATACCTACAACCAACATGTATGTGGTATGTCTAATTTTTATATCTAAATAATGTTTATCCAATTTAATAAAATACATTTGTAAAATTATACTTATAAAGTTACTCGTATTACACCAATCACTCTCGATACATATTATAATTAAATCAATATATTACACATCTGCCAATGAACGCGTTTTATTGAAACTAAAGTACATCAAGAATTATTCAAAAAAAATACTTAAGCTCAAAACTAATTGCTATGTTTTTATTGTTATTGAATGTCGAAAGACACATTCAGCATTCTTAAGTCTGATGAGTATTGATTCTTATCCAAAATTAAATACGTTAGGAAGTAAAAGTTGAGTTATAATTTATATGTTATTATTTTAAAATTTAAAATAGTCGAATGATTTTCTAAAATCTGTTTGATATGTAGGTATACACAGAAAATAAAACAATATAAAATATAAAATTATTTTCAAATATTTGTAAGCGAATCAAAAGATTTTTTTCTATGTTAGAGTCTTTTTTAAAATGTTCTGGTAGGCCAAAGGTGGCCTAACCACCCTGCCTATTACTTCGTAAATTATATATATGCAAACGTAATAAAAGAAAAAAATGCTATTAAAACAAAATATACTCACTATTTATATTAATACGAATTCGGGGTATCAATTTGTTAACTGGTTTGCACAACCTACTAAAATGACTTAAAATTTAAATCCAACTACTCGACTATTTATACTATGCTTTTTTACCTGTGTTTTAAAGCATTTTATCGAGGCTAAAGAGGTACTCAATACTTGCATAATTATTGCAACTACACGTGTTGTAAAATATTTATTAACTCTGTGAAAATACACTAAAATAGAAGTAAAATTAACTATTTTATCGAACTTATATGACACGTTTTTTTTTATCGTTATGGAATTTTGATGATTTCATTACAAATTATAACTATTTATTATATATAATTATTATATTATTATATATAATTCTATTATTCTACATTTGCCATGGACTATTTAAGGAAAGGAAAAATGGTATTCATATGTTGTTAGGTAATGTTTTTTCCAGTATATACAATATTATTAATATGATTACGTATCCGTCAGTCTGTATTCGCAGAAAAAAATTATCGCGTGTTTCAATTATATCATAATTATATGAACCCATTTTGTTTACGACCATGTTAGTATGTATTATTATAATACAGTTTCGCCACACCCGTTTTACCTAACTGCTTCCGTAATTTAATAATATGTATAAATTGCATTGTACATTATTACATGAGCGTCAAAAAGGAATTTTTTCCAAAAAAACAAACGCGTGGGCTTTTGCCTGATGTACAGTGTAGTTGTATGTTGTGTTCGCTATTAAAATGTATAACATCTCCATTCACCATCACTCACTTTGAATTGGCTTTGATAAACGTCTGTACTTTGTCGTGTGCTACCCAATTTTCATACATTCAATTAAAATAATATTATTTTGACTATCTATTGAAACGAATTTTAACGGTTATGCATAAAATAAGTTTTCTGATAAATATATAAATATGAAGACCGATAAGGTTATATAATATAATATAGGTAGGTACCCTTATTATATAATTTTCTCATACCGTTAAATAAAATTCAATATTATAGAGCGAGTTAGCCAATTTACGTACAACATTTAGTTTTGCAAAATCTCAGTATGTACATCAATTACTTGCAAATCCACTGACTAAATATAGGTGCATATTATACATTACACACACTACCCATCAATGTAAATTTATCACCTTTGAAGGTTAACGTTCACTATAATATTATATTATAATAAATAACCCATAACCGCAGCAAGTTTCTGAATTTAAATATTTGATCTGTTAGGGAATTCTGTTAATAATATATTTTATACCTAAGCAGAAGTGCAGAATCATAAAATTAAATTTGTACAAACACGCATGGTGGTTCGTCTCAAATATAATATATATTTTTTTTTTGAGGGTCAAAATAATTCACGTACCTATGTTATAGTCACACAATCACAAGTACCACAATAATGTTATGTAACTGTGGTTTGAAATTAACAACATTTTTTTATAGTTAATTTAAATTGTTTACCAAATATTTTTGTAGTTAAATAATAAAATATAATGTCCAACACATATTTATATAGTTTTACATATATTATAAATACGACGCCGTTTATATTATATCGGAATTTGAACGGTTTTAATTATTACTCAGTGGGTGAATAGAGATAAACATTCTTAAGGCAAGGGAGGTTATATTATAATATTATGATCTTGACAATGGTATAAGTCTTAAATCTTTTTGACATTTTTCGGTGGGATTTTATACATTTACAACCGCTGTACACAGATTAAAATAAATACATTAAGTGTGAGACACGTGTTGGGCCGCTCTCGGGGGTAGTCCATATGAATGAACAGACTAATCCTAATCACACAATTGATTTTACTACGAGTTTAGGTGAAATTGGGTCAACGTGAATGTGTACGCGCGGCTGTGTATTCATGTAGAATAATGTACAATACCCTTAGAAATAACCGTATAAATACTATGTGCTCGTATTGGGAAAAATTTAATAAATGTGTTCAATTAATGATTTAAAAACTGCGTTGAAAACACATAGTTATTTAATACAGACACACGAGGGACTTTGCTCAACTCTCTCTCCATAGCCATCAGTTCTCAGACATAATAATTTAGTTAGTTCATTAGTATGTGCCCCAATACAAATAAGCAATAAATACACTTCCAACTATAAATTATAATTTTTTTTAACAATAAAGCCAATTGAAATTTTACCAACATAAATAGTAATTTAAATCAATTTAATTTGTATGAATTTCTATTTCAGATTCTGAGCTGAATTTATTGGTTTTATAATATATTATGTTTTTTTATATTTGACGTCACCTTTAGGTAAAATAAAAATACTTTAAACCTTAATATACCGGGTTCGGCTAACAAATTGGATTTCGTACTTGGTAGGGGGAGGGGTAAAAAGTAAAAATCACCAGTACTTTTCAAAATAAAATTTTTACTGAAAAAATGGAAATAAGGATACTCTAAATCAAAAATTGAAATCGCAAAAACATGAATTATCCCCAAATATTAAAATTAAAATTGCTTAGACATAATGTAATTTTCAAAATATTTTGTACTATTTATAAATCAAACACTTCAATTTTGAGATTAAATTGTGTATATCAGTAGTTAAGATGTTTTTCCTTGCAGAATATATGGATGGGCTTAACCTATTAGTAATAAAACTAAAGGTTATATAAATATATGATAAAATATGCTTTTCTTGTTTAAAAATTGGAAATTGCCAATTTTTAAAATTGACCGATTCGAAGAAAATTAAAAGTTTATTAATAATTTTCATTTAATAGAATCAAATTTGTCAATTTTTCATATTTCAAAGAAATATATGTTTACGAAAAATGAAAATACACGACTATTTAAAAATCTATGGGTACAAGTCATTTTAAATTTTTACTAACGAAAAAATATATATTTTTTCGTAAGTATTTTGAATAATTATTTTCAAAAATGTATTAACAAGTTTTAAACACTTTCGGAGTATTGTATTTGCATGTACCACTATATAACCATGCTCGTCCACTTATTAGATTATTGAAAACTCAATATTTAAAGAATCTACAGGGTATGTAGTATTGTATTATATTGAATGTGTAATATTACATGCGATATATTATGGTAAATTCGTATAGATGTCTACTATCTATACTGATATTATTTTAAAAGATTTTTTACAAATCTTCGTCAAACAAAACTATTTGCTCGGACGGAGATGTTACTATTATTATTATTATGTGACATCTTCGTCGTTATGTTATAATATTATTATGTCCGTTGACAATAAATAATGGCTTTTAGTCACACTGCGCGGCGACGCGGCCGTCACGGCCTCCGCTCCGTTGACAAAAATACGCGCGACAAGCAAAAGAAAAAAAAATTGCAGCTTCACAAAACACACTTCGTTATATATTCAAATAAATACGTCGTGACGTAACAGCATGTTTAAAAAAAAATCATACGCATATACTGCACATGTATATATATTATAGCCATTAAAATTTTAATACCTATACATATATACCATCTTGTACCTATACCTATATGATATGTGAGTATTTTCTCGCAGCACACGTTTCTAGAGTTTTTTTTTTTAAGTTCGTCCCCTTCTCATCTCCCCCACAATGTGAAACAATAATAACGTAGTTGCCATGTGTGATGTACTGATGTGTGTATGTTTGCCAGTGTGCTTGTCAAATCGCGTTATGTAATATGTGGATGTTATTAGTGCATAACACTTCAATATAATTTTAGTATATTCCTAGGTATAAAATATGTTATACGATGTAATAATATTTAGCGGAGATTTCATGACGTGATGATTTCCCGTTAAAATATAATTTACGATTTCGACGAGCCAAGAGCAAAAATAACGATCTTAAATTTATTCTCCGCCGTCAATTAGTTTTATATACGCCTATCTACCTATATTATATTATAACTCTACTCAATCCTCTGTATATATATATCGAAAAGTTGTGCGGAAGGCTATAGCCAGCAATCAAATTCTTTTCTTTTTTTTTGGGGGGGGGGGGAGGTCAGAGTATAGATTTGTGTTTCGACTAACAAATTTTAAGACTTGAATAAACTCAACACCTACCTAATGTTTTAAGGAAAATATTCAGGGGGTCTGAACCCTAGGGTCCTCTCTCCCCCCATGGCTACGACTTTGGCTGTGTGACAGGTAATGCAATATAGGTAAATAAAAATAACTTAACTTCTACGAACCCATAAAACAATTTCATAGAGTAAAAACTGTATTTCTTTTAATATAATGATTCTGTACTGTATAATATTTGACTACGATCATTAGTGTTTCATAATATACAATATTGATTAATTACGTGTAAGTTTCCTCACCTCCTCGGCCGGCATAAACCTCATCAAACGACTAATAACATGTCATTATATTATTTAATATCGCGCGAAAACTTAAAAAATTATACTACAGGTGGTGCGTTTTTTTCATTTTGATAACATATGATCGGAGGCCTAATGCACTAACAGGAGGATGGTCCAATAGGCTAATTATATTAGAAATTACAACAAGAAAAATCAATCAACCATCGTTTTTACCCGTCATGCGATAAGTACATACTTGGAACTTTGTATGATGGTTGTTGGTTATACATTGTTAAAATCAAACAACTTTTGGTTAACTTTGCAAGTTTATCCAGACTATAAAATGATTATAATATGGTGATATGTGCGGTATGTCTTATAACTACTGTACAGGGTTGCGTTCAGATACAATTTAACCGGAGGACTTGGAATGGCAAGACCACAGAAGAGATCTGTAGCAGTACGAATTTAACGACTTTTGATGTCCTGATATCGTAATTTGATCTCACAAACACAACCTAACGTAACCTAACCTCAGTGGATACGACACATACATTCCTAGTCTTTTAGGGTGTTAATAATACCATATTACAATAAAACAATGGTTTTTTCCAGACAATGAGTATTTGCCTATATTGAGTTTAATTTAAAAAAAAAAATAATAAAAAATTATGACAATATTCAAATATTGGCATTACAAAGTACATATTACATATTACATAAATTACATTCCAGTCGTTTCAAAGTATTCAAGTGGCATAACTTGTATAGTAATGAAGTACACGTATTACATAATAGTAAATTATTTGGTTTTAAATTATGTTGAATGCATCTTTATTCCTTATGAACCATT